TCCATGGTGTGGTGTCTGAACCCAGGGTCTCATGCATGCTAGGCAAGTACTCTACCATTGAGCTATACTCCCAGCCCCATTATTTGCTTTCGAGAAAATTAAGGCCCAGGTGCATTAGAGAACTCACCAAAGTACACACAGCCAGGAAGGGGTGTACACGGCTTTCCCTGAGCAGTCTGGGTGTTGCCCTAGGCTCTGAACCCCTCCTGACAGTTCGGGAGACAAAGAAGAAACAGCAATGAACAATTGAGAGTCAGCCTCACATAACTGGTTTCAACAGCAGGAGGGACCAGGTGAGTGCTAGAGGGACCAGGGGAGAGTGCATGGAGGAGGGGAGAGTGCATGGAGGAGGGGAGAGTGCATGGAGGAGGGGAGGGGGCCGAGCTGAACCTAAGGAAGAGAGGAGGACTTTGGATCCTGAGGACAGGGGAGGAAACTCCAGGTTTGGAATGACAGAATGAAGATGCTGGGGGGGGGGGAAATCACAAAGATGAAACTGTCAGAACAAGAAGCTCTTGGGAGCCAAAGGTTTACACAAAGAGTGAACCAGAACACAGGCTGGAGCAGCAGCAACTCAGCAAGATCATCTTTTAGGATGGACCAAAGAGACTGGCACCAGTGAAGTCCAGCTCTTTTTGTGGGAAAAAGCCCCCTTCTTCCTGGGCCCACAGGGTTACAGAATGAACCCTCTGTGCAGCAAAAGGAGTGCAGGCCCCCTGTTCTGGGCATTCCACTTCCTGCCTTTCCACACGCTGCACCTGCCTTAAGAAGAAATTGTACAAGCACAGCCCTGGGCAGAGATGAGTCTTTAATTCTACAGACTCCTGAAGAGTTACGTGCTCATTCTCCAAGAGTAAATTTTTCCTCCAAGTAAGCCCAGTGTGCAGAACCTGACACACACACAGGCATTCAGTAAACACCTGTTGAAAGTCAAGTTCACCGAGAGACCTGCATTCCTGAATCAAAACGTTACAGGGAGGAAATGAGGCTCAAAAACTAGAGATAACACCATGGCCCTCCTGTATTGTATTCTTGTCTCAGATTAAAGATTATAGCTTGTTGCAATAAAATTCCATGGTATTTGCTGATGGTCATAGAAATGGAGATTTCTGGTTCCACCCAGTGGAAATGACCCATGTTCCGTACTGACCAATGGCATGCTCCATTGCAGAGGGACCTTGACTGTATATAGGATGCCCAGAGGAAGTGATGGGCTACTTTGTGAGCTGTCAGGATAGTTGGAAATTGGTTAATGGAAAGCAAAGTCTTATTCCCTAGGAAGATGTGCCTGCTTCACAGCATTAATTTAAAAGCAAACAACTAGGAATTGAAAACCAACATTCTTTGAACATTGAGGCAACTTTGAAAATGTCAAAAATACAAACCTCCACAGTAGCCCAGGAGATGTCACCTTGATGATCTCCCCTCCCCAAGCTCCCAGAACCTACTGTTGCACATGTCTGGAGGTTTCATGGGCTAATGCTGCCTGAGGTCAGAAGGTCCTTCCTGGTCTGGCCCACTGCCTCTCTGACCTCCCCTCCTACCTTCTCTTCCTTGCTGTTCTGCATATAATACACTTGTCACCTGTACCTCACAACTTACCCTGTTTACTCAGGGCCATGTCAGTGGGGACATCTTTGGCCATTATAAAGGAATCACATTCCTCCCTCCACAGGTCACTCTCTCCTTTATTTTTCTTTATAGCACATGATGGATATCTGGGTTTTATGCCTATCTGTCTCCTCTTATCCCCCATATGTAAGCTCCCTAGGAATGAGAAGAACCTTTTTTGATTAATTTTGCCCCAGTGTGTAGAACAGTCAGGAAACCCCTGCTGAAAGATGGCTGCAATGAGACACCACAGAGGTGGGTTAGGAGGCTTTCCTAATAACCATCAGCCTCCTCATGAACCAGGACCCTGTGCCACTGAGAGTACAACTTTGAGTCTTAGCTGCCACAGAAGTCCTGCTCTGTATCTTTGTAGTGTAAAGAATCACCCAGGCAGATCCCTCCGCTTCCTTCTGAAAAAAATCTCAAACTTAAGTCTTACACTGGAACCACTCAAGGTAATCAAAGAACATCTGATGTCCCTGTGATTGATGACCTGATACAATGTACCACTCTCCATGCTCAGGGCCTGGGGCCTGTAAATGCCAATGGCCCCTCCGTGTCAGGCAGCTGGCTGCTGGTGGCTCCACTTCACCCATCGAAACCTTGCAGCCAGCTAAGCCTCACTGTGACCACCAAACAACCTTCAGAGCTGGTTCTGGATAATGAGCTACTGCCTGTGCGCCAAGGGCAGCCCTGGGAGCCTCCTTTTCATCAGGGACACCAAATGGCAGTCATACAAAACAGCACAGATGCACAAAAGCAGGCAGCATAGGGATGGTGGAGGCGTCAAGAAATAACAAACAGGAAGGAGGTTAAGGGCATAGGTATGGATCATGCTGTGGCGGGGCCTAAGGAATATATATATATATTTAAGTAGAAAAGGATGAGGCTGGGCTGTGACGTGGGGATGCCCTAGGCTCTGAGGACACAAATATGAATTCCTTGTCCCCACAGGCCGAGGCAGTGCAGCCATGTGGCTTCCCAGTTAAAGCCATCGGGTGGGGCTGACATGTTCCAGGATGCCAGTTCCAATACAACATTTGCTGCTTCTGCCAACAGAAACATCAAACTCATTAATTAAACATCCACCAGCAGTCATCGGCTCCCTCACTGTGCTTTGCTGGTCTCATCAATCTTGCTCAGTGCAGAGCAGGCCCCTGGACACATCTAGCAGGAAGCCAACTGTCTGATTATTCAGCATTTGTTAAGATTGGACACAGAGCCTTTAAAAAATATTAAACCCTGACTAGGCACAGAAACGAAGCAAATCAGCCCCTCTACCTTCCCCCAACCACCAGAAAAAAAAAGTTGTAGTAGACCCTCAAGAAGAAAGAATGATTACTTTTGCTGCTCCCCACCAACAACCCCTTCCTTGAAAAGATGATCCACTTAATGGATCATGGTGGTGTCTTGAGTCTTTGCAACTTAGGTTTTGCTTCTGTGTGGAGTCAGAAAGGTTCTTTGCTCTTTGCCTATTGTTCTCCTTGCAGAATCCTTGCTTTGTTGCCAGTTTTAAGCCGTAATTTTATTTAAGACCTAAGCCAATATACTCCTAGGAAATAGCAATTTTTTTTTTAAGAGAAGAGAAGGCAGAAATCTGCTTTCTGTATTTTGCTCTGCCAAGGAAAATGTTCATGATACAATGTTTATGCCCCTTTGGATGGAGACCTGGATGTTTGAAAAGTGCTGGGAGTCTCCACAGGAAACAGGGAATGCAGGGATGATGGGTCAGTGCAACCTGGGGAGACAGAGATAGGAAAGACCTTGGTTTTGTGGAGGTGAACAGACCTCCCAGGTGACTACTCTGACTTAGATGCATGTGCAGGGAGCCGTCTTTCCTCCCAGGGTCACAAATCTCAAGTTCCCAATTCTAATCTTGACCTCTTCTTTTTGCCTTTGGAGTCCACCTTCCTGTATTTATTTACACAGAAGGGCTACCCACTCATCTGCACCAAGCGTCAGCAGAGTACAAGTGCACAATTCCATGATTTGATGGTTACTGGCTTGTAGCCTGGTACCACATGCTTCATCCCAAAGGAGGAAGCCTACTCCAGACCTCATGGTGGGTAAGCTGGCAGGTGGTTTACCTGGGCAGAGGATTTTGTGATGCCTCAAAGCAACCCACTGGGAGGGTGGGCTGCCTGCACTGTCAAGCCCTGTGTCTGACATTCTTCTGGGCCTAACACCCATCCGGGTCTCACTTCTGACCCTGGAAATCCCTGACATCTGGGGGGAAGGCAAAGGCTGATGGTGCAGGAGTCATGCCTGGGGTGGGAAAATGTTGTAGGCAAGTCCAGCATGAGCTGGCTCTGCAGGTTTCATCTCAAATGGGAATCTGCGGTTCCCGGCTATGAGGTTTGAGGCCAGAGAGGGAGGCAGGGTAGCAGAGGACAAAGGACTCCAAGACAGAGTTGAGGTCCTCTATTCCTTCTAGAAGCCAAACACAACCTCACGGCATCAGCCAGTGCAAGTCCAGAGGGAGCCTTAGAGATGATCTGGAAGAACTTTCATACACACAGGTAATAGAGGCCAGTGAGGTTTCCTGCAATGCTTGACCATGAGGAAGTAGGGACGAGGTCAGGATTCTGAGGCCTGCTCCAGGGCCCTCTGTGTCGGCATTCAGTCTGCCCTAATTTTGAAATCTAATGTAGGAACACTGAATCTCCCACTCCTTAGACTCTCAACCCACTGTGACTTCTCCAGTGATGAGTGCTAAGCATGTGGATAATGTGCTCTTTCCCTGTGGCCTGTAGGTCACTACAGAGATGGGGAGACAGCAGCTGTGTCCTAAGTCCATAGAGGGCTCTCTAGTGGCACTCTGGGACTTTCCTGGTTGGAACAGGTATCTTGGGCCTAGAGAAGGGATCATTTGTGTCCTGATGTTTGGGGCTGCTGGGGAGATCCTGGGAAGTCTACTTCATGGGGAAGCATACCAAACAGCAGCGAAGGCTACACAAACTTGGGCAAATTCCCCAAAGCACAGTGACCTCTTATGGATGGGAAGTGACATCTAGAAGCTGCCCCTAAGCCCTAGAGCAATCATGATCTCTGTAACAACTCTCTTGCCAACAGTATTCAGGCCTCAGCAGATCCAAAGAATAACTCTAGACTGTAAGAGATGTACAAAGGCAGAGGCTGTGTATCCCTCTCAAGAGACGCCAGGGTGTAGCCAATGGCAGAAGCTCAATCGACATTTGTTCAGTGAATGGGCACATCTGTCTGGCTTACCCAGAACCTGGCCACTTTCTGTATAAGCACAGGAAGATGGCTGCTCTGTGGGTATGAGCCCCATTAAAGCCATGGTGTTTTCCCAGCTTGAAGAAACGGTCTCTGAGGGGTGCTGCACTGGCCAGCCGGTCGCCAGCCCTGCCCTTCTGGCTCAGGCATACCTTTCTCAGCTCGTCCTTCTCCCTGCTGTGGGCATCCTCCAGGACCCTACGCTCTGAGTGGGCTCTCTGCAGCTCCGTGCGCAGGCTCTGCACCTCCTCCTGCAGCTGCAGGCTGGCATCGGCCCCCTGGTTCTGCTGGTAATGCGCCAGCTCCCTCTTCAGCTTCTCCACCTGCATGGTGTGCATGGAGGTGACCGCCGACAGTTGCTCCGACAGGGTCTTGAACTCTTTGTTCTGTGGAGAATCAGAAAATGGGGAAAGGGAAGGAGGAGGGAGGAGAAAGACAGGGTTATTGGGCCAGGAAAGGCAGAGTGAAGGCAATAGAAAAGTACGTTCAAGGTGGAATTAAACTTCACAATCATTACATGCTCGAGTGCTCGCCTGCCATCTCCCTAACAAAACTCTGTGAGCCCAGGAGAAACAGAGGGAAGCAAAAAATAGCAGCACTGGGATCAAAAAATACTTCAAGGAGCTTTTATGAGCCCTCTCAGAGCTGGAAGCTGGCTGATGGCAGTTTGATTTCTCCTCTGGGTGGACAGATCCTTCCATCCGATTTGGAAGTTGTAGGAATGATGTAGCGGGCTCCCTGGACCTGCAGTCTTGGATTTTGAAGTTTCTCTGTCCTTTCACACCAAGCCCTCCCACCCTTGGACTTGCTGGCACAAAGCACTGCAACCTAATCGCCAGCTCTGAGACAAAGGCCCCTTTAGCATACCTATTCTAAGGGGCCTTGGGATCCCTCTTGCCACCTGTCAGGCTAGATTACCTGGGGTGCCTCTGAGTCGGGAGACTGATGCCTGCTGGAGCTTGCACCTGATGTGAGCCTGGCTCACTGGGTACCTGATCACCAACCCACTCACGTTTCCCTGTGTGCCTGGGACCCTGAGAACCTAGTGCAAGGGTCAAATCCAAGTGTAAATGAGGGGCAGAGTTGTGGCTGTCAGAATCAAGAGTAACAGCCCAAAGTAGTTAGTATGAAAGAGTAGTGGCGAGGAAGGAGGGCTCTCCAAATAAGCAGGCAACAGCAAATAGTCATCGATTATTCTTCATTGCTGTCCTCTACAGGAGCATCAGGTAGAACAGATACTGGGTAAAATACCAATAAGCAAGGACAGTGGGAATCAATGATTAATTTACATCAGAAATTAGACCTCACAAAAAGCAGTGAGGAAAAGTAAAAGAAAGGCCATTGGAGCCTGGACACCAGACATGCCGTGGGACTGCGGGGCTGGGGCGTCGGCAGCAACTGTCCATGTGCATGCAGCAGGTGGGATCCTCACCCTGCTCTCTATGACTGGTCTGGCTGTCAGCCTCATCCCGAGGAAAAAATTGGTGTCTATTTAGGAAGACTGTCCCTGCCTAAACTACCCTCCTGGGGGTTGCCAATGGAGGCTGAGAGTCTCTGCACAGTGGGGAAGGCAGGCTGGACTAGTTTCCTCTGACCTCTCTGTTCTGGGTTGGAAATAAGGCTTAGCTCATCTGTCACCTCGAGGTGGCATGTCCTGGGTCGTATCACCAAAGGTGGTAAGGATGACAGGGCTAGGGTCCCTGGTGAAGGTTGGGCATGAAGAGAGGCATGCATGTGAAGGCAGCAGGGGGTACAGGCATGCCCTGCATTGCTGTGGACCTCAGCCACATAGCCTGGCTCTGGGAGGCCCAGCTCTCCTGATCCCAATACCGCCCAAGTCTAGGCTCAGGGAATGTTGGGGTGACAAGCAGCTGAGGCTGGACAGACTGCTTGGAGCCCAGCTCTACCCTTGATCCTCCAGGAATGTACACCCCAACTTCCTCACATGTAAATGGGTGGAAACACACCTTGGAGGCTTGTCACCAAGATGTAGGGATAAAGCACTTAGCCTGCTGCCTGGATAACATCAGTACACACCGGTGATCCTCACTGGCCAGGATTCTATAAGGAGCCCCTCAGAGAGGGGCTTGCAAGGCTCACGGTGTGCATGGGGGAGTCCCCACAGCAGAGCCAGGGAAGTTCCTTATCTCATCCCACTGCATCTGAACACGACCCCTGAGGGTTCCAAGGCTGTGTGCCTTGTATTCTGAGTGTCTGGCTTCTGAAAGGAAGCCCCAGGAGGGGATGGCTTCCTGTTTGTCCTCAAGCCTACAGATGGCCTGGCTGTGCCCCAAGCCTAGCACCCCTCATGGGCCCCCCAAGTCCTCCCTGTGATGGGAGGCTAAGATCGCCAGCGCTAGTCTAGTCAGTGCCACTTGGAGACCCAGTCCTGCCCGGCACTAGTGAAGGCCTTTGCTGACATTAGGGGGCAGGGCTCTGGAGAGTTCAGGGCAGACACTAGTCCTCCTAGGAGGTCTCAAACATCCCGAATGGATGCTCGCTCTGCTGCTGCTGCTACTGAGGCACACAGGTGAGGTCAGGTGAGATTTTGAAATGTCTCTGCAGGGTGAAGGGCAAGTCACCTGCCTGTTCGTCCAGGTGATGGCAGGACCTCTCCTGCCTGAGCAGCATCTTTGTGTAACTGGAGGAAAGTACCACCCTCAAGGTGGGGAAACAGTTTCCCCTGTGGGTGGGCATAGCCCCAGAGGTACACAGATTGGAACAAAGAATGCTACTTCCAGGGAAGGCTCATGGTCAGGTGAAGAACAGCAACTGAATTTCAGCCACACTTCTCTTAAAACCAGGCCCCTTGTTCAGTGTACAACCAGAACTGTACAGAGTGATTTCCAATAAATGCTCATGGACTTGGGTTGGCGGGGGGAATAAGCAGATTACTGCAAGACAGTCTGCACAGTGAAAAGCAGCATGACCCCCACACAACGGCTACCAGTGGTGGGTGCTTGCTTTAGGCCACACACTATAATATGCTCACGTATAAAACTCATTCAAGCTTCACAAGTCCTATTTGGTATGGATTACTAACATCGCCCCCTACTTCTGATGCACAGAAAGGCCATAAAGCTGTAACTTATAACATGCACATGGTAACTGAATGCCTATTAAGTATAATGAAATCAGACTGACTCAAAGGCTGACAATCTATAGATTTGTATTTTTTCCATGTAAAATGCATTTAAATACCACCTTATATTTATAAGTATATAAGAAACTTACCTCCCATTTAAAAATTGTAAGTTCAACTGACCAAGTTATTCTTCGTATGTGCTGATATAAAGCCAGGCTTTTGGCAAAGTTCATGGGCTCCCTCATTTTGGCTGAATAATATCATATGAGACCTATACCAGGGGCACTATAATAAATGGTCCCAGGAAATGATTATTTATTGCTGAAGGCTATGAAAACCATGGGAGAATATTTTAGCACCACGGACAGCTCAAATTCTCCTAACCATCTTCTCTTTCAGGGACTCTCAAAGGACTCTGTCACTTGCTTGGGAACTTGGTGCTGAATCTGTCTTCTCTCTCCAGTTGGGGTGTAGTCTCAGGACAAGCATCTGGGATGCCACCTTAGCCTGGTTTTCTTTCAGTCTCCGCCCTTGCCGACTCATGGCAGGGGTCAGGGTACTTGTTGCAGGACTGTCTCCATCGACCTGGGCCTTGGTCCTCTTCCTCATGCTACTCTGACCAGTACCTTGGGACACCTTTGCCTCTGTCTTCCCTGACACACGCATGTCTTCCTTCCAGCTTCGAACCTTGCCTATGTGTCAAGAGAGCAGCTGCCTGAATCTTTTCCAAGAATCACAAGAAGAAAAGCAACTCAGATTGCTGAACAGTTGGCCTCATCTGCTAATAAAACCAGCAGCTCTAGAGAGCTGGCAGGGAAGAGGATGCTGATGCCTTCTCTCACAGCAGGGTGGCAGGCACCCTGGACTCTGGGTCATCCCCTGACCCCACAGCACACACTGTAAATACCTACCAGTCTTAAGGACAATGCTATCATATAAACATGAACCCAAACCAAAGTTAGTGACTCGCAGTGTGAGAGATCTAGCAATTTGGTCAGAGGTGGCAGACCATGCCCTGAAAGCAGCCCATCAGTGTCAATGCCACACAGGCTACTTACTAGCTGTATGATCTTGGGCTGGTTACTTACATTCTCTGTGCCTCAATGTCCTCATCTTTGAGATAAGTATATTAACATTGATCTCCTAGGGTTGTGGTGAGGATTCAATGAGTTGGTATGTGAGAACAGTGCCTAGCACATAGGCAATATGGGGAGACACATGAGAAAGCAAGAATCTCATCACCCCTTGTGACCACCTGTGACATGCAGGGCACCCTGCCCAGGTGACTAATGCTTGTCACTATTCACAGATGTTTGTTAGCAGGAAACTTAAGCCAAAAAGCTTAAAAAAAAGTCCTTTTAAATCTGCTTCTCTTTGATGTTCAAACACATGGATTGTAAAATTTAGATTTATTTTTATCCTCTGAAGTTGACTTTAGCAATCAGCAAGGTCAGTGTACAGCCCTATCTGGAATCTGAGGGTCAGAGTGGCCAGCATGCACACAGGGATCCTGGCAGAGGCAGCATCAAAGCCTCCACGTCCCTCTCAGTGTTCTTTGCCCACAAGGTCAGCTGGCAAACCGGGACTACTCCTGCCTTTTCTGGCCAGTCATCAACAACCCTTTCATTATCAAGCAAAACCAAAAACTTGGTGTTCTTTGCACTTGTTTAATCCACATGGCCAGGGCCAGAGACCAGACTCTCTCCTCTGAGCAGGTGGGACTTCTTCCCTCACCTGGCCAATGGCTGCAGGCTGACAGGGCAGGGATCAAGTGTAGCCCATCCTATACCTGGGCCTTCCTTGATTCCTTATAAGGAGCCAGTGGAACAGGCACCTTGGAGAACCTACACAGAAAGCACAGCCCTGGGGTAACACCTCTTCTCAGAAACCTGAAACACACCACTGTCATCTAGGCCCTGCATTGGGACAGCCGGTTTAGGTATAAAATGGCTTACTTATATTCCTGTTATTGGGGTCACAGTAAGTTTTAGAAGTGTCCAGTATAGGACAGGTGCAGTAAAACCAAGTCACCTCCAAGATCATGGCTGGTGGCCCCAACTTGGTTTCTTTCTTCAGACCCCTACACCATCACACTATGCCCTTTTCCTCTCAGCAGTAGTGAAACCCTCCAGGGTGCTACAAGAGCCTGGGCCTGGGGTCACCTTGACATCCTGCAGGAGCCAGGTGATGGTGAGCCTCTTTTCCATACTCAGCAATGACTATAGGAAGAAAGAACCGATGACAGTGTTTGCAGTTTAAAAAAAAACAACTAGCATTGCCCTCATCATGGCTGTGAGCAGAACCTAGGTTGTAATACCTCCTAATTCTGTGGCCTGATCTAGAATTTCCCCATCTGTGAAATGACCGCAAGTGAAGTGAGGATTCAACGAGTGAATACAGAGCACACATCACAGACTGGCACAAGTGGTACCCACAAGTCATGATGGGATCCATGCCATGGGTCCTAATGCAGGAAGATTCTTTCCCATAGCACAACATTCCACTTGTACCAAAGTTATCCCTCATCAGCCTGAATCAAGGAGTTAGAGGGGAAGGAGGACAGACCACTTGGGCCACCCGAGAGAGTGTGTGTGTGTGTGTGTGTGTGTGTGTGTGCACGCGCGTGCGCAAGCCTCATTCCAACCTGGGTTTTGCCCAGGTGTATCTGCCCCCCAGGAGCATGTCCTGTGTTTGCCTTGAATCCCTCTTAATACCACGCCCAGCACCCTTCCTGCAGGCTAACAATTCCTTCTTTGTTCAGCAGATGTGGGAAAGTGGCTTAAGCTTTCCTTAAGCAAAGAAGCTAAAACCTCCTGAAAGCAGTGATTATTTCTGGAGTTGGGAGGACTCCAGGGCAGAATCCTGCTTGCAGCATTGCCAGTTCCTAGAGACTACCTGCTTTCCTTGGCTCCCGGCCTCCATTGCCCCTCTCCATATTTCCTCCCCTCAATCTCACCACCCATCCTTCCTCCCTCTCATGAAGGCCCTTGTGCTCCCATCAGCCCACCGGGAAAATCTAGAATCATTTCCCTATTGCAAGATCCTTAGGTCATTCACATCTGAGCAGCCCTTTTGCTCTGTGAGGCAACGTTCACAGATCCCCGGGTTTAGATGTGTGCATCTTTGGGAGGCCATTGTTCTGCCTGCCATGGTCAGGAACTGTTCTTACTGGTGGGATGATACCTCGAGGACTTCTAGGCTTCCTCAAGTCTCTGGCACATGTCATTTCCCGAGGAAGCTACGGGTCTCTCTCAAATATACCCTTGGTGCCCCACTCAACCTGACCCCGGGGAAGGGAGCTCCTCACACTGACCTGGTCATCAATCTTCCGCTGCAGCTGGACCACCTTGTTCTCCATGCCCACATTGAGGCGTTTCAGGTGCTCTGCTGAGCGGGCCTCGATCTTGAGGGCCTTCAGTTCCTGCTTGGCCTTGAGCCTCCGGAAGGCACACTGGATGACGATGGCTGCAGCCCGCAGCCGCTGGAAATGCCTGCGTGCCATCCACCCCCGGGCGTGCTTCTGGATGATGGTGGCCTTGTGCTCCATGAGGACCTGGAGGGGAATGGCAGGCATACTCACCCTGTGGGTTTGCACCACAGAATGGGAGCAAGGGAAGCTCATGGAACCATCTGGATGATGAGGCTGAGGGGACAGGGCCCCAGCGTCTAAGGTATTGATGGCTGTTTTATGAATGAATTGTAGCCAGGCTCTGCAGCCCAAGTACCCAAGGGAATCAGCTGTCAGACTCTTATTTTAGCTTTATTGTGCTTTCTGTTTCCCTGACTAGGGAGCCACAGTCTAAAAACCTCACCATTTGGGGGATTGAATGATTAGCCTATTGATCTCTCCCCATTTGACAGATGCAGATCCCGTCTTGGTGCAGGGGAACTAGAAGGTAGAGTGTACAATCCAGTGAGAGGTCCCAAAAGGTTAGTGGCTCATAAGTTAACTGCACATGAGTTAGTTTTTCTAACACGTTAAAGGCCACTCAGAAAATCAAAGCATCAATGTTCTTGCCTTAATACCCTGTAAAATATTGAGTGTTACATACCCTGTGTGTCACAGCTGCAAGACACCCAGTGCTTGCTCTTTGCATGTGCTGCCCCCTGCTGGTTACCTAAAAAAATGTCACCTGCCCCTATCACAGGGACATCATCACACCATTATTAGTCACTCCAGAAGTCATGGAACCTTCTCCCATTAGCCTGGGACTCCATTATACCAGGTGCATCCACCATCACAGGGTCATGCTTGTTCTGTCATCACTGATTCAGTGTTTTAGGTTTATCTTTTAGGAAAAAAAAACCTCACACTTCTGATCATAGAAAGCACAAATATTCATTTTAGGAAAACAAACATCTCGGGCACCTGCTTCCAACTTGACTTTCCCATTAGCATTGTGCTTTCAGCTGCAGTTTTCTGGCTGAAGGAACATGTGCTGATTGAGAGCTTCCTAACCCAGGATTTCAGCCTCGATGGAGTAACGCAAAGAGCAACGGCCCAGCAGGAGGTGACAGCGGCCCTCCCCTGGTCTCACCTCAGCAGGCTTCAGGCCTCTAATCTAGAAAGGGCTCAGTCTGCTGGGGCCTAGTACCACCCCCTGTTCAAGTCTGAACAAGCTAGGTCAGACACCAGGCTCGGACGCTGGCTCACAGGTGCCCTCAGGCAGGAGACTGAGCTCCTCTGGGCAGCTTAGGGGTCAAGGGGGAACGCCACCACCCCACCTCCCCTCTTTGCAGGACTTCAGGAAGGACTTGGAAAGAGCAGACATGTGAAGTGAGAGATTCAGAAAAAAGTCAGTAGAGCCAACAAATGTTCCTGTGGGTGACACTGCTGCTATAGGCGGGACTCCAGCCGGCAAGTCCCCCAGGGTGGCCACTTACCTGGCGGTAGATTCTGCGCACGAACATGGCCCGAGCAAAGGCCTGGATGACGATGGCAGCCCTGCGCACTCTCTGGTAAGCCAGGCGGGTCCTCCGCATGCGGTACTGCTTCTGGAGCACCACTGCTGCCCGAGTCCTTCGCAGGTGCTCAGCCAGCCTGTCGGCGGGAGAGGGCGAGTAGCATCAGGGAGAGCGCTCTGGGCAGCTGGCACCGAGGCCCCTGAGGTGTACTGCAAAGCAAGCTCCTCCTCACCATGGTCCTACTGGGACAGCTTTCACCGTCCTTCCCAAACACAGCAATGCCTCAGGCACTTAATCCATAGGCTCAGAACTGTAGGGTTCCCTTTCTTCTTGGGGTTCCCCAAAGACTTCCCACCATCATTGACCTTGGTCTGAGTTTGACCCCCCTGTGATCCTTACCCGACTACTCTCAGCTCCTGGGCAGTCCCCTGCCACACACCCTCGGTGCCCCCCATCCTCCATGCATTTACATTGCTGCCTGTGCCTCTCCAGGCTTGGGGATGCCCAGGTCTACGTCTCAACTCATTCTGCACCCCTAGATCTAGTTCAGGGCCCACAAAGCAGGCAGTAGGCAAGTATCTGCTGAATGACTGAATCTCCTCAGGCCCCCACCTCTCCTCCCCATTTTCTCATCTCCCCAGGCCCTTTCCCCTGGAAGCCCACGAGTATCTCTCCTTTCTTTCATCACTGCATTCCCCGTCTCATTTCCCAAATAAAATAGCCAGGTTGATGCTTCCCATCCTTAAGAGTCTTATTCTGCTCCAGGCTCACAGCAAGTGTTCAGCCCAAGGTCCACAATGTCCCATGCTAGAAAGGCCCCTAGAAATCATTTAGCACAACCTCAGAACCACCATCCAGGCCAGATGCTCATACTTGGTGAAATGCACAATTCCCTAGTCCAGCTCCCTGTGCGTGCTTTCCTCAGATATGTGCCCCTGGATTACAGGCTTTCTGCAGGGAGAATTCAGGTCAGGTCTGTTACACTCCTGCACACGTGCTCTCTAGCAGAGATGGCCGAGCAGCCACTTGAAACTTTGACTCTCGAACACCAGATTTTGTGGTAATTACTGTCACTTCTCCACAGAAAATTCTTAGAGAAAGTGCTGGCAGTGGATCCACCTGTGAAGGCCCGGGGTATCCCATGAGAGTCTGTGGAGGGGCCTAAGATATAGCTTACAGGAGGCCATGCCTGCCCCAGTGGACGGAAGAAGGGAACAGTGAAAGCAGTTTCCTCTGTGTGGTATCAGACTGGCATAAATGTTGGGCAGGGGAGCCCAACTGGCATCTTGGCAAAGAGCCACTGTGGTTGGACAAGTCATACCCTGTCTGTACTGGATCAGTGCAGCAACTCATGGAATGTCCTCCCAGGACCTTCCCAGACTAATTACAAACTCCAAGGATTCCAAAAGTTCCTGGTACACAGAGTGAGGTGACGTGTAAGTGTACTGTGATGGAAGGGGTAGATTCTAGGTGTAAATTTTTCTTTCTTATTTTTTGTTTTTTACTGTGGGGTTTAGGTAAAGAGGAAGTGATTGATTTGTACAAAAACTAGGTTCTAGGTTAGTGTTGGTGGGATGGGGGCAGTCGGGGGGCACCTGACTTGGGAACTAGACCAACTTCCTGAGGCGAGAAGGCATTCGAGGGATGCTCACCCACTGGGAGAGAGCCCAGGAACAGACAGGGCTCCACAGAACCTGCTTTAATTATGGACAAAAGGTCACCTAGCTGAGAGGCAGTTGCCCTCTTCCCTGCCCCAGATACACCTGGGCTTGCTTACCTGCGGGCCAGGTATCCTCGGCAGTACTTCTGCAAGGTTAAGGTGGCCCTCTTCAACCTGCGGTACTTCACCTTCTGCAGCCAGCCCCGGACGGTTTTCTGGATCATGATGGTGGCTGCTCGGAACTTGTCGGCCCGCAATTTCTCCAGGTAGGCCACTTGGCCTGCCCGAAAGAAGATCTTGGTGCGGCCAAACTGGAACTTGTCAGGATCCTTCATGGGGAAGGGAGAAGAGCTGGCTGGTCATCAGTGATCAGTGTGGCAGCCTGCCCCGTGCCACCCAGTTCTTCCCACCAGATCTCAAGTGGCCCTCCACACTCGGCACTCATCCAACAGTGTGTCCCCACTACATAACAGGCGCTGGGTGAGTCACCCGGGATGGGCTGTAAAGATGACTGCCTGGAGGAACAGACATCGGGGCAAGGGCAACAGAGAAGCCAACAAGCCACTCCCTGCTTTCAGACAGTGATAGGATCAGGGAGAAAGTCAAACGGGGGGTGTTTAAAAATGATGCAGGAGACAGGCCCCTTGGGAGGTGCTCTTTGAGTAAAGATCTGAATGGACCCAAGTGGGCAGCCACGGAGAAGCAGCAAAGAGGAATTCTTCAAAGGAGCAGGTCAGATGCTCACACCCTGTGCTGGTAACAACCCAGGCATGTTGAGGAACGAGAACCAGGACGGCTAAGCATGGGCGCTGCAGGTGGATGGATGTGAGGAGCCAGTCATGAAAGGCCTGGCAAGTCTGGTACAAAGTTGGGATGGGAGCCATGTGTTGGGGGTTCTGAGCAAAGCAATAGCCTCATCTGGTCAATGTTTTAAAGATTATCGTTAAATGGCTGCAGTTGTACACAAATTACAGAGTATAAATAATCACCAAATAAAACTATTTTTTGAACATGTAGTGACTAATCTGAATTATATCTATTAAGTTAAAATTAGTTGCCTTTCCCTGCATTCACCCCAGTGGATGAGAAATGATGACCAGAGGGCTATGGATAAGCCTGGTGAAGAACACCGAGAAAGTTAGCCCACGAAGACCTGAAGCCCTGCAAATCCACTGCCATCCCACATGCTCACTGGCACGAAGCCCATGGCAAGATGAGAGACCGAGCCAAAGTCTGCAGAGGACACACAAGAATGTGCTTCACACTGGCAAATGGCTCTGAAGGAATGCTAGGCCATCGTTCTTCATGGGCTAATCCCTATGCAGGTGACAGGAATGGGTTCCTTGCTGGGAGGAAGGAACCCAGCTTAGACTGCCTGAGCTTGAGACACAGCTCCAGCTGGAGTATCACTGGTTGTTTTCTCCATGGGCCTGGCTGCAGGTGAGGTGGGGCCTGGGTTGGTTCTCATGCCTATGTCTGCTTGGGGCCACACCTCCAGTGGGCCCGTAGCTCATACTGAGCCACAGGGCTGGATGGGCCAGGAAGCTTCCAGGCAGCAGATGCCATGGTTTGATTGCTACCCTGTGTGGGGAGAGTCCTGCTCAGCAAGAGGGGTCAGAATCGGGGACAAGCTCAGCTACTTGGTTTCAGCAGAATCAGAGAAGGGGGGGGGTGTCACTGAATCCCAGGAAACATAGCATGCATGCTTCATTTGTTATTCTGGAAATAAATAGGAAGGGGTGATGTGGCCTTCACCAACAGGACATTTAGGGGATCCCACCTGCTGGGGGACATCAAGCATTGCTGGCCCATAGAACATGGAGTAGCTAACTCCCCCGGGAGGCCAGGAATGGGCTTCTCAGATCAGGAAGTATCTTAGAGCTCAGTTTGGGAGGAGACTCTGGGCAGGCAGGTAACAGAAAAAGCACTCCAGGCAGAGGAAACAGCATGTACTCGTTAATTTGCCTTCAGGCAAGTCATTTGTGTGTTCCTCCCACAAATGTTTGGTGGGCTCCCTGTGTCATACCAAGTGCTTATAAGTAGTGGGGAGCGTCAATGCAGAGACAGTTCCCCTGAAGGGAAGGCTGCATGCACCTGAAACATGGGATAGCAAGGACATGGGCCCCAAGAGTGACATGAAGGGCTATAGGCAAGTGCTGGGTCCAGGACAGCAGGAGAGCAGGGTCAGCCATGAAGCGAAGCACCAAGAAGTGGGCAGGCTACTCCTCATCTGTGAAGAGGCAGCTGTGCGCAGCAAGGCCCAGTGGTCAAAGTGCATCAAGGAGTCAGGCCCCAGGCAGTGGCACTTGGTCCCATTAGCAGGAGGGGAGCATGGTATAGGTGTGTGTCCCTTTAGGAAGAGGAGGTTCTGCTAGTAACCTTGGAGAAATCCAGGAAAGAGGGAGAGAAGGCAGCCACATGGTAGAGGGATCCTTGGCAGTCCTGGACTGCACACCGAGAGGCCAGTTCTGGTACCAATGAGGAGGAAGACTCCTACCATGTTAACCAAGGTCAGCCTACCTGAACAGATTGATCTCACCCATGAGAAGAGAGACGTTCACATGGACACTGACAAATGAAATGCAGCCCAAACTTCAGCTAACCAGAATCTGACTAAACAACCCTCAATTAACCAGACTGTCATCTTCTGATCTTTTTTTTTTTTTTAAAGGGTGGGGGTGGCAAAGGTGAATGGTATTTGGGCTCTATCTTTTTAAAATGGTACTTAAAACCATATTCATTTAGAATGGTATTCTGCACTGTCTGTCCAAAGCTACAAACCTGAGTAGCCAAAATGACATTAAGATGAATAAATTTATGAAATAAAACACAAACTTAACTCCTAATTATATGACGATAAGCCATCCCGTGTGAGTAGATTTTCTAGCAAAATACTTGACCTTTTTAAAATTTTTGAGGTAATTATTTTATCACCTTTTTAAAAGGAAGATTCTTGACATGATTTAACACTTTAACATTATCACACTCTTCTAGTGTTTCTGAATTTTCTTGAAATACTGAAAAGTTTAACAATTTTCCTCTATTAACTTGTTTCATAGTTCTCCAGTCTCAACTGTCGGGTGTGATTTCAGGTTATAAACACACAAAATCCTTTACTTTATCTGAAACAAGTAACTGAGGACGACCTGAGGCTGGCTATGCATTGACAAATAAAAACAGCTTTTTCCCTCTGCTGACCTGGGCTGTGCCTGGGCTCCAGATCCGAGACCCCACCAGGTGTACATGAGCCCAGCTATGGAGGAGCCAGAGATGGCAGCCGGGGGAGTCTCCTTGTGCCCCCAGTGAGCTGTACCAACAACTCCATTTTCCTGTGTACCAAGATGTGAAAAGCCTAGTAGATCCTCTCTATGGGTGAAGAGGCTGTTTTTTCCTCCAGGTAGGAAAATTCATTAAACACCTCCAACAGGAGTTTCAAGGAGGATGAAGGCAAAAGCAGCAGGTAACCCCCACCCTCTATTCTCAGGGTCTCCTGGTCATACTCTCTGGAGCCCAGCTCACCTTGACGAGGCTCTCCAGGACAGACCTGCAGATGGCCTTCTTGTCTGTGTTGGCAAGCTCCCTCTTCTTCACCAGCACTCGGTACCGGTTGAAGAAGTCATGGTAGGTCCACCTGGAGAGCGAGCAAAGGTGTGTCAGGTGACAAGTCCTTGCCTCTAGGCCACATAGGGGTCATGTGTGATCTCAGATGGCATTTCATGAGGTCAAAATCATGCTCATGGGAGCAAAAACCAGTCCCAGGAGAGTCTGGTCCACCTACAGCCCTTTGAGGATTTCAGTGTCGTGATTCTTGGAGTTGGGGCTGGAGCACTAGGGGTTAAGAATGCGTCTGATTAAGTACAAGCAGGGTCTCCACCAAAGCACCTGTAATTCCCTCCCCTGCAACTGCTGTCAGAGGCACGTGGTCACAGCTTTGCTTTCAGAACATTGGCTTTCTTCTTACAGAATGGACGCTGTTCATTATAAACATTTTTTAATACAGAAAAGTATACACTAGCAAATAACAAGCACCCATGTCCTAATCCCTAGGGATAAATTTATTCATATTTGATCAAGTTTAGGAGGAGACACTTTTCTCCCCAAAGTTGATTTTGCTCACAATTCCTTTTTTCTCCTTACTATAGTGCCCTATAAAGATAGCACCCAGCACGTCACACAACTGGAGAGACCTATAATCCACTATTTATGCCAGGAAGCAGTGTTTTATGTTCTGGCAGAGTGTCTTTAAGAGGACCTTAAGTTTATCCTTCTGCTTCCGATTTCTATATTAATGAATGCAGCCCTTACTATTCCCTTAGCAGGGCCGACTTGCTCATGAGAACAGCCAGGGATTGCAGCGTGCCCCCAGCTCAATTCCATACCGTTTTCAGAGATGCTTGTAACTGCACACTGAGTCAGCCCATTCTTGCCTGGAAGGACAGTTTGTCTATGTCCCTCCAAAAGTCAATACAGTGCACCCCCAACCTTTGCTACATCCTTGTCCCCTGGAGGTGCAGCCAGCCCTGGCTCTCATCTTCAGAGGCATCAAGAGGACTGACATGCCCCGTCTCCAGGGGCACTTGCTGTGTGCACCTCCTCTGGGAGTCAACAGGTGTTGTGCGGTTCCATCACTGGGGCCTTGCTGGGGGACCAGCACAGCTCAGGTTGGTTCATTAACACTAAGATGTCACTAGAGTATCAGCAGGTTGTATCCTTTTCCCTGGGGTTCTTGGCCTTTAAAGGGGGTCCTTTGGAGATTCTCTAGAGAAATGTGCTGCTTAGTGTCAGGACCCCTGGGAGGTAATGAGGCCACACCGTGCTCTGGGAGAGGAATCCCAGGGAACCTTCGGCTTCAACTCTAGGATCTCATGACAGCCTGGGCCTCAAAGGAAAATGGAGGCTGAGCTCCCTGCTCTTTCCCCTCCACCTTCCTCCGTCATGGTTACCTTCCTTGGTTTGGTGGAAGATTGCTAACATAGCCGTGGGTCTCTGAGAAGGGGCGAGTAGAAAATAACATTTTCCCTCATCTTTCTAATCTTTTTTCTTCTATGTAGCATGGTTGGTTAGAGATTGCTTCTTTTAATGAAAGCTTTTGTGAGCTAGCACTTACCATAAAATTTGGCCTTTTAAAGTGTACAATTCAGTAGTTTTTAATACATTTGCAGAGTTGTGCAACCATCCCCAGTACTGAATTCCAGAACATTTTCTCAACCCCAAAAGGAAATCCCATTGCCCTGGGCCAACCTTGGCAATCCTACTTTGTCTCTATGCCCCTTAGCTTTCAACCGCTTCCGTCACAAATGTAGCACACTGGGAATGAGGGAAGCATTCTGCTTAGAGCTCCTGGGTCTTTCCAAGGCCTGCTCACTGTCTGTGCAGACTACCTTCAGAAGGGAGGGCAGAGGGTACTTAGAGCTCCTGGCCTCTGTCTTATGGCCAGGAAAACGCTCCTCCATTCACTGAGCAGAAACTTCCTCACCTTCCAGTTTTGTGGAGGGACTGAGGCAAACCCACCGAGTCACTGGCCATCTCCAACAGGCACTTTTATTATTGGACACATTGAAGATTATTAACCAGATAAATGCTGCTTCAATTATTTCAATCATGCATGATAAGTGTCAAGAAAACTCCCAAGTCCTGATTCTAGGATGATTCACTCCAGAGGCCCGTGAACCAGAAAGCCAACATTGACAAGTTGCCAACATATGTGTTATTTTGTCTTTTATCCATGCAAATGCTACTGAGTTTTCCCTAATCTCTTCCCCAGACTCCCTCCCAGTTTTAAATGTACACCATTCTCCGATACTTGCACATAAGGAAGGACGGACTTGGGTGAGAAAGAAAAATGCACAAGAGAAAGGGCTTCACAAATCTAGTTCTCCCTGACCACCAGTCAACATTCGGCTCGCTCGTGCAGTCTTCACTGGTCAGGGGCTTACCACTTTTAATTTTTGTACTAGGGATTGAACTTGGGGATTTTAATGACGGAGCCACATCACCAACCCTTTTTGAGACGGGGCCTCACTAAGTTGCTTAGGATCTAAGTTGCTGAGGTTGGCTTTGAACTTGCCATTCTCCTGCCTCAGCCTCTAGAGTTGCTGGGATTACAGGTTCGCGCCACCATGTGGGCTCTCCCTTCACAGCTGCTGGGCACTTTCTCATGACTTTCAGAGGGCACTTCCCACATTCTGCATCAGGGTTATTTGTGTACTCACTTTTTTCTCCCTATGAGCTTGCAGTTTTGCTGGGGAAATAATTAAGGCAGCATTTAGCTGGGCTAAAACCCTTAAATGCTTCTAATTTGAAAGTCTTAGTGCTGACAGATCCATAATTCAAGGAAATCATGAGTGTGGGGAGATGTGACTTCAAAGACATCAGGGCCAGTTTGGAATGAGCTTCAAGAATAGAAGTCTGACTCTGACCTTGACCAGCAGCATGATTGCAGTCCTGGCCTGGGATTCCCTTACCTGCAAGACAAAGGTACCTGCAAGACAAAAACATCTCACTAGCAGCCAATGATTTCGTCACATGGAGTGATGGAAAGCTGCAAAGCTTCCAAAGATCTCAACTGCTCATGCTTCCTGTGTGATCCCTCTCCTCTTCTTGCAAACATGTTCTTGAGAAAAACCCACACCAAGGACAAGGTGTGTGGGTAAAGCTGATGAGAGCGCGCCCAACTGTCCAGTGAGTATTGTTTTGGGTGGACGCTCCCTCTGGAGGCATCCGAAGGGGCACGCCTCCACTGTATCGGGGCCTAAGGCTTGTAAAAGTGTCATTCTTCACAGGACCCAGAATCAAATACGTGCTCTCAGAGAGAGAACCCTCACCTCACAGGAAAACCTTTAAAGCAAAGCTAAAAAGATTCTGATTCTTCAAAAATAGAACTCAATGGGACTTTCTGATTAGGTGGGGACCTCTGGGTAGAGTTTCACTGTAATGGTATGAAAATGGGGCGATGCCATTCAGAGCCCAGGCCTGCACAGATGAAATCACAGCACACGAGCTCTTCCTGAGCTACTACGGGTCCTAGGGCTTTCTGCCTTCCGTTACACAGACCTGTTCACACATAGGTGGCTCCTCTGCTAGCCTCTAGCCTCCTTAGGCCAGGGTCTCAGACTCCCCAGCACCCACCTGCATGGAATCTTTATACCTAGTCGCTTATTCATTTAAAGTTTTCTTACTGACCATCAAATGGTCAGTCTCTTGACCATCTGAACCTTTTCTCTCTGCCAGTGTTGACTGAGGGGGACACTCTTGGCTTTGAGGTGGCAATTCTTCAGTGTCCACAGGACATACAGCTTCTTTGGACCATCATCATTACTCCACCCCTGTTCATGAGATGTTAAAAAAAATCTCTCAAATACTTATAAAATGTTTGCCATGGGACATTCTTCTAGTCCTGGAAGACTTCTAGAGAACAAATAGCCCCGACTGCCATCTGCCTCCACAGTGGGGATCCTTCTTGCTGTCTTTGCCCTCATCAGGGGGACGTGTCCTCTCCCCCCCCAACAGGAGCTTGTCACTCAATGGCTGGGAGTTCTCCTTTACTCCACTCCCATGCCTGGCTGCTCCTACATTCCTTTCCACAGAGTGGCAGGAGAAGAGCCCCCTCCCATGCCTAGGACAAGGTCCCAGCTGTGCTCAATGAGTCTCAGCAGCCAAAGGGATGGAATTCTCCCGAGCCTCGCCTGCCCTGGATTCCAGCTCTTCCGCTAGGCGGCCTGGCTGAGCATCCTCAGCTTCAGTATTCTCTTGAATAAAAGCCTCCTTCTTCACCTGGTATGCTCTGGCCTGCTGGGGGAACAGGTGCCCTCCTGGCCTCAACAGAGAGTCACAGGTGGGTGTGTGGGAAAAGCTCGGGGCCTATGACAGCTTCCGGGTTAGACAAGCATTGGTCAGACCCAATCTGGAAGATTGCCTCCTACCACGAGCTCCTCAGGCTTCAGTGAGGGCAGAGCTGCTTTGCCTGGCACAGTGAGCAGCAGCTTGGGGTGATGTTCCAGTTGGCCGAGCTCCCCTCTGGAGCCTCACACTGGATCAACCCGTGGGAACATTTTGCAGAGGACTGTGCCTGGCTGAGAGGGCCCCAGTGGACCAGGGTGAGCAGACAGGGTGTAACAGCCATAGCTGTACAACTTTGTATTTCCCTCTTGGGCAGGTTTCCTTGTGTGGGTAGTGGCTGGATTAAATAAGCCCCAAGTGTTGCTCCTTGGTATGAGGCTTTAAGTCACAAAAACTTATGACATCAGGCAACAAGAATCCCTAAAGATGTCATTGGGGGTGATCCCAAGGGCCCCTTAGAAAACAGTGAAGAGCTCCACCAGGGCTCCCAGGTGGGGATTAGGGACGTCAACCTGTACTCCTGGATACTCCTCATGCTGTCATTCATCTTAGGTCATGCCGACATGGCATGGGTTCCTTTCCTTCTGTACTCTGCAGAAGTAAAAAATAGTTCACAGAATGGGAGAAGAAATTTGGAAGTCCTACGTCTGATAATGTAGTTCATATCCAGAATATAGAAATAATTTACAATTCAACAATGGGCAAATAATCCAATATGAAAAATGGGCAAAGGATTTGAAATACATTTCTCCAAAGACATTATATGACCAGTAAGCATACGAAAAGATACTT